GCTACTACCCAGGACGCAGGAAAGCTCAGGCTTCTTCAAGCACCGCCACCCTAAAGACGGTAGGGGCACTTTCATGTTGGTTTCTAGATTGTGGGAGGAAACTTGCGGGGGGGCCAGTGCGGGAATGGTTTCAACGTGAGACTCCCACAACATGTAACACATCGCACCGACTGCCAACTCTGGAGCTGTTCTGTTGTTCTTGGTCAGTTTGCATTCTGAAGACCACACCAGTGGTGAACCCGGAATCTTGCTGAGTCCTTTGCGGAAGACGGAGCCCCACAGCAGTTCCCTTCGATTTCGATTCAACACACGCGGCACGGCGGACTGGCGGGGGCCAAACGGTTTTTGCTTTTTCCAGGACGCCCGGGCACTGCCTTCTATGGTGGTGAGTCGGCAGACCCGGGCCGTGCGGGTTGCGGGTTGAACAGGGCAATGAGGAGAGGATTGGAATACGGCGGCTTGAAGAAAAGCCCTCGGAGGAGGTCAAGGACGTTGGTCACCTTCTGCAACCTTTGGAACCAGGATGAGCCAGGATTCATATTGATGTTCATGAGACCATGCTAGCAGTGGGAATGCGATTTCGCAGTGTCGGCCGCATGGGCTTAGGGGTGGTATTTAATGTTCCATAGACTCAGCTTCGATCCTGAACACCTCTCTTTAAAGTCGAATTGAACTCAAACATCAACAAACGCATTCTCCCTGGTTCTTCTAACTTACCTAACTTGATCCCGTCGGTTCGGTCACACTGGATCCCAGTTCGGTGGATGTGCGGTCGAAGGGATGTCCTGGCTGTTCGGTCGAAGTCCGAGCCGCTCAGCCGAGCTCCGTTTCTGCCCAGTCGGGATGATGACAGTGTGGACTTGCTGCCGGGCTCCGCACTCTTCCTGCTGGAGATCAAGATTTCCGAGGAGAGGGAGAACCCTCAGTCATTGGAGAACCTGTGGCCTAAGAGCTTGGGGGTTGGTTTGATAGTAGTAGTAGTAGTAGTAGTAGTAGTAGTTGTTGTTGTTGTTGTTGTTGTTGTCGCAGCCCGGCAGACTTGATTCAAGCCTCGGGCGTCCAATACATCAAATTCTTGCAGAATCATGGCAGTGTGCACAACCGGGGAGCTGTGGTCCTTGCTGCTGAGCTTCGCAGTTGTTGTGCTTCACCTTCCTGCGTTGGGCATGAAATGGAGGGAACCATGTGCTTGTTTGAAGGGCAGCTGCAATCCACAGATACAATGCAAGGCAAAAAAACAAGAGACATGCGCAAGTGATATGCAATGCAAAAAGACACAGAGAGGAGGAAGCCAAATTTAAGTTTTGCTATTTTATTTGTCCAACATCACCTGTTTTGAGCTGCGCCACAGCTTGGCCACTGGGCGACCGCCGACCGCCCAGTGGTTCCTACTGCCCCAGTCCCTGTTTAATATGAAGACCTGACGAGGAGAAAACCTTCGTGTATTCCACCAGCAGTGCGGATGCCAGTTGAGAGAGGTGATTTGATTGGTTCGTGGGAGGTTTACTTGACTCTCCCGGGCCGCTCGAGGGCCCAACCAGCATCCAGGTGAACAGATTGCACCACCCAAATATGGTCGATGAGTACCCGCTTGGCGCCCTTGCAATAGATACAAGGTAAGAGATCATAAGTACCCAGCACACGGCGTTAGGTTTTGGGTCGTGGGATGTTGTTTTTTCCCGCCGTGAGTGTGCAAACACACAGGCAGAAGCATCAGGTCTCACGTAAGTTCTGACATTTAATGTCACTTCGCTCGTTTTGTGTTGCTAGCCAAGTGTTTGATTCGGAAAGAGGTACTTAGCCGTAGCCCATCATGCAGCTAGTGAGGAGTTTATCAACAAAAACATCTCGCCTCCTCTCAGTTAGTATTTGCTAGATTCGTCCTCATGGCTGCTCAAGTGAGGTGTGTTTCCTCTTTATGATGTTGAATGAATCCTTGGGAGAGACCTTATGTTTTCCTTTTACTTAGAATGGCAATTGTCAAAAATACCAAACAAATCTAAACAATATCCATTGCATCACTTGAAGACCGGATAGGCACATAGGCTGGGTTTGGGTACCTATTTCTGGGAACCATGGATTTGGTTTTCTCCCCATCTACTGAGGTGAGGCAGCCATAGAGCTTTGTGCTGAGATCCTCGATATGGGCGGCTTGGCATTTGAGACTTCAAATCCCTCAATAAGTTCAATACGATCAATAGAGCCATTTCTGAGGCGTTCGCTGTAGGAGATTTGTTTAAGTGTTTTCCCGGTGTATATTAGATCAATAGCCCGGCTAGCTTGATGGAACGCCAGTGAATCCACAATGCCCCTCGGAATTTTGAAGGTTCGACTGTAGAAATTGTGGATTTGGCCTTGCTGGTTGCCCAAACCTTCATTTCCTTGCGATGATCCCCTAGTAACGAACGCGCTATTGAACTGAGAAGACCTGGAGGAAAACCGCCAAGGCTAGATTGGAAAGAGCATTCGTTTGCTGTATTTGGAGACTTTTTGGTGCCTAGCTGGCAGCTGGCCTAGCATTTTTGTGCCTAGCTGGCCTAGATCCTTGTTTAAGTGCAAGACTTGTCTAACGTTTGAAGTTGTAGGGCCAGAGAAAAGGCCGTCCGCAGCTGTGTGCTTTGTGAAGAATTTCACTTGGGGAGAACTTTACCCAACTTGAACTTGGAATTGAACCGACGCTGTCAGAAGGCCATGTCAGTTGGTTGCTCGCCCAGCTAGCCTAGTAGCTAGCCTTTTATTTATGAATGGGGTTCTATCCCATGGAAAACCTGTTTCAGTTTCTGGGGAAAAAATGGACACTGAAGTAGCTAGGGTCAGCAGTGGAATGGACTAGGAGGATACCCCCCCTGAAGTTTCAGGACCTGAGTGCCGACCTGATCCTGAGGCATGATGTCACTCGGAGACATTCCGCAGGCGCCAGAGCAAGTGAGCAAGTGATTTGCCGTGTGACCATTTCTCATCATGTTTCATGTTCTTTGTTCTCTCTACCAAAACTCTTTGCAAACATGGACTTGATTAGCCTTCGTGCAGGTAAGTCTCCCACCTCTATGCGGCTGCAATTCATATGAACGTAGATTAGATCGATAGTATTGGTATCGATAATATATAGATCACTTGGCACCCCTTGCTCCTCAGAGGACCGGCAGAAGGTTTTTTCCAGGCGTTTGTCTTCTAAACCGGGCCGCTTTTCCGTTGCTTCTGGACCTTTGGACCGTGCCTGCGTCGTGGTGCCTTCGTTGCGCGTGCTTGTGGCGCCCACGTTTCGGCCACTCCGACTGGGTCTGGAGGTGGAACCCCAAATCGTGCCACAGCTCTTCAAGACGGTCGTGGTGAAGCAGGCACGACTGGACGAACATCCGTTGGGGTTCGGTGAGGCGACTATTTGACGCGACGGATCGATAGGAGAAGGGGGAACGTCCCGGGAATTGGAGTTGGGACACCTATAGTGTGGTGAGATGAGGCTACTGAAGATCATGTTCTACATGTCATATGCTGAATATATCTGAATATACATCATATTCAGACTATAGGCACTGTCATCACATATCATCACTATCATGTTTTTAAATATATATATATATATTTCTATCAGTATGGTCAGTATGGTCATAGTTTTTGCATGTAGATGTGATGACCAGGCGGTGCTGGTCGACCATGGTGTGTGCTACACAGAAAAGCGACTGGTCTGGGCGCCATCCGTTTCCGCGCACGGAACGCAGAACAGACATGCAACGTATTCCATTCCTCTCCAAAGAACATGGAGGGAACTCGTCTATCTTGATAGCATGAGGTTAGGTGTCTTGAGTTTGCTTTGACTGGAGGGAACTCAATGTTCTGCTTGACTTTTTTGGGTTTGATGTCAATTCCAACCTGCAAGGTGCCCCTATGACCCAACACTTGAGGTGGCCGAACACGTGCCAGGGCGAACACCATCGACGTGCAGGTGTTGAACACCATCGACGTCCAAACACCTCGGGATGAAGGGGCGCCCACGCCCTTCGTGAAGGCGAGGAAGATCGTATAAGGGATGAGTAAACGGAAGCCCTGATGCACCATGTAGGTTGACCTTCCAGGTAGACTAGGCATCCTGGTTTGAAAACCACACAGCCATGATATCACTTATAGTGACTTTGGCCAAATGCCAAACATCAGATCCTCGGATCTTCTTCGCTTCCCCCCCCTGCGGGGCTGGGCAGCGAAGTGATTTCTGTTCGGCCATGCGTCAGCAACAGGTGTATCCTATTGGCCGGGGGTGGATATGATTTTTGGGCAGTTACTCGGCAGCCTATGGAACCCCAAACCTATGCAAATTTGTCGTGTTTGATGGAAAACACCATGTTTGGGCTCTACTTGACTAAAGCCATGGTATGTTTTGGGGTTCTTGCTTCTCCAGGTATATTGCATATTGGAACTCATTTTGGGACAGGTGTTGAGAGAGGTGAGGAGGACCCTTCGCTCGGGTTCCGTTTCGCCAGGCACGGAAGGCGGCCATGTTGCAACACCTCCGAAAGGCCCCGTGCTGCATCGGGAGCAGCTCGTGGGGTTCTTGGGCCGAACAATTGGGTGGTGGTGGGTGGTGGCTGTGGATGGTGGTGGTGGTGGTGGTGGTTAAGGGGGACAGGATGCTTACAGAAGCTCTGCTTTAAATCAATATAACTCATAATAACTTAACTCATGTTTAAATCCCTCAAAGCTCGCAGTGAGAAATCAGTGAGAAACTTAGTTGACAAAAAATGACAAAAAAAAACTGAAGCGGTTCCTGTTTGAACATGTTTCAACGTTTTCCTCCGGTTGGTCACGGGAATTGGAGTTCCAAAGGGCACACGTTTAGATTGGTGCTTCGCCTCAAGTTGCGATGGCTTCTTTGGGGCTGGTCGGGAAGATGCACTTGGAACTCGGGCACTTGGTGTGGAATCTTTGTCAAGTTCGGTCTTCCCAAACCCAAGCAGCCAATTTAATTTGATGGCGGCTATAGATACTAGCCTTTTTCATGTTTACACTTGCACGTAGCTGGCACCGACATACTCAGATCCGATTCTCCCTAGCAGGACCATGATGGGACTGGCTTCGTGTCCTTCGCCGCCATGGCGGGAAGCGCGGCCATGGCGTCCTTCGCTTCGCCAACTGCGGGACTGGCGGTGCTCGTGGCGAGCGCGGTGCTCGTGGCAAGTGTGCCCTTGGACTTTCACCAGACGCCCTTGCGGTGCCCCAGCTCTTGGGAAGACCTGCTCGGTCAGCTGACGGAGGCACAAGAACTTCTGACTGTGCCTGGGAAGTCCTGCTCAGAGGAGTTGGTGTTCATCCATTATTGTGGGGGTGGCTGCAGCAACACCCAGAAACACCACATGAAACCGACGCATATATATATATATACACATGCATGCATATATTGTCAAGATCTAATTGTAATCAGTAGGGACCAGTATAGGGACTGTCCATCTTTATTCATCTTAGAATCTTGCTTACCCATCTTGATACCCCTGGAACTCCTTGAAACCAGTTCTCCAAGGTCGGCCAAGCTGCCGAAGTCCGGCTGCACTTGAGCGAGGCTTTGCAGCACTTCTTGGGCCCTGACGCCGGCGAAGCCCTTCACCTGCGCCATGCACTGGACGAGTGCCCCGTGGGTATCGCGGCGGCGCTACGGCTCAGCGCCATGGCACACTATGGAGATCCTGCAGTCCGAGAAGCTTCACGCCATGTGCAGATCCAGGCTTTGGAGGTCGCGTTGTGCTTGCAACATTTGGCAGCCGGATGGCTGATCTATGCCTACAATGGGCCGGCTGACCATCGGGACTCCTTCATTGATGAATCCCTGTGGCCCATCACTTCAGGCACCTTCGGCGATGAGCACCGTTCGGTGGCGCAGCTTCTCTCCGAGCTGCGGGCGAGTTCCGCGCGGAACGCGGACGACGCAGCGAGTTCGCGGCGGAATGCGGCGAGGAACTCGCCGCGCTTGGCGCTGGTGACGATCTGCGACTACCCTGAGGCGTCGCAACTGCCGCGGTGGGCAGCGTTTGTGCATGGGATCTATGCCCAAAAGCATCATGGCTGAAAGGTGGTGTGGTTTTCTTGGTCGCAACTGGGTATCAGAGGCAAACCCATTGGAAGGCCCGGGCCCGGGACATGTGCGGAACCCGGGGGCTGTTCGTGGACGGTTCCTGGGGTGGGCCACGTGGGAAAAACCTTATATCACCGTTAAAAAGGCCAGAAACTTCGCTGGTGGAAGTTAATTTTTGATGCACCAACTAGCTGACCCCCTTTCTCCACACGCCCTCCAAATCTAGCCTTCAGGGTAGATATGATCGGACTCGATGCAGTCCTTCCTAAAGGAGAAACGGACATGTGTCTACAGGCTTCATTTGTCAGACTTGACCGTCTCGATGGACAGCTGGTGCAAGCAAACAACGGGCGATGTTTTACATTTTACTTTTGACTGCATGTTTGGACGAACGAGTGGTTTCTTTTGCCTTGCTTATGGCATCAAAAGCTGACCCAAGTGGCAGACGGATGACGGATGTTGTGGTGTCCCAACCGAACACATGTTGTGGTGTCCCAACAGCGTGCACACAATGACAATGAGGGCAGAAGTTTCTTTTTGATCACCCGTTAGAGTTAGAGGAAGATATAAGATATATATATATATATCTTTAGGATCAAAGAGGATCAAAGCTTTTGGATGCAAAGCTTGAGGCATGGCTATGCATATCTGCACTACCGTGATGCGCGGCATGCAAGTGGGCGCCCAGCTGCTTGGGGGAAGGTGGCTGCAATGCGAGAGGCTTTGGAGGATGGACGCTGGGACTGGGTGGTTTGGGTCGATTGTGCCACTTGGATTGAAGGATCGGGGCCACCATCGACGGATTGGGACCATGGCCATCCATGGCCTACGGCCATCACGTCTGGCTGGCTGTATGGCAGCTTTCACGTCTCCCGCCTTTTTGACATGTTAGACATCGGTCCTGTCAGTGAAAAGCGATGTCATGTACCAGAACTTCGTGAAATGCCAGGATGGGTCCTCATGGGTGGGGTATGGTGGGATATATATTTATATTGACCCTCATTGCCATTTCCACTATGAAATGGGTGGCCTTAAGGCCCTTATAGATGGGTTGGAAGGGGTCATAAGGCCCTGAGGGAAATTGTAATGGGGATATGTATATATATATATATATATTGTACATAGTCATGTTCCAAAGCTTTATAATATTATTCACAGAAAACTGTTCCTGGAGTCTGGAGTTGAACAAATGCAGATTTCTTGCTCCCAGCAGGCTTTTGCATGAAAACGGGCATGTGACAGCCATATGTGACAGCAATCCAGTGGTAATCCGTTGCTGCGTTCTTTCTTGGTATGATCGGTTCTCGAGGGCTGTTGAGGGCTGTTTCGACTTTAGTTGAATTGGGAATCAGGATTACACACTATATACGTTATATTGAATGAATCTACATCAGATGTGCTTCATGGTTCCAGTTAAGGACTTGTACTTCATGAACCTCAACAAGACATTGGAGTCGATTTGGCTCCGACACTCTGATGCACCAGAGGTGACTTGGGCTTGATGGAGGGAGTGGGTCCTGCAAAAGGATCTTTCTGGGTGATCAAGGCACAGGTCGTTGGGATGTTCCAAGAAGTTCTGGCTTGCCAAAACCTTTGACCGCTTCGCCCTGCTCTGATCGTTGAACCAAAGAAGGGTGATTCCTGCCCCTTCCAGCTGTGGTCGCTGCGCGTTATGAAGATGCACCTTTTTCCAGGTGAGCATGCTCATTTCTGAAGATGCTCAGACGCTGAACACGGCGATTTTCTTCTTAAAGCGAACTGACTGGAGCAAGCAGCTTTTGGAGAGCGCGACTTGGCAGCGGCATTGGGTCAAACTATCTGGGTTATTTTGGGATCGTACAGCAATGAGATGGGGGAAGGTCTATGCGTTTGAAGGTGACCAAGCCAAGTACAGTAGATGGCACTGAAACCCCAAGATGTCTTTTTGGATGGGGGTTCCATATAATATAAACCACCAAACTTGGGGTAACTTGTGCCATCTACTTTGAAACCACCGTAAATGCAGAAAATCGCATGGTTCTAGAAGGGACCAACCACATGAAGCAACATGAGGCAGAGAGAGAGAGAGAGAGAGAGACCGGGCCCAAAAGGTTTGGGATGCGAACGGCTCGCCTTTCATTGACCACACCTGGTGGGAACAGCAGGCACGCGGCGCGAGCGCCACGCGAGCGCCACACGAGCGCCACGCCAGGTTTGCTCGTCCTGCTGAGTGTGGGATGAGGTGAACAGGGTTTGTCAGATTGTTTCATCACCAAAGTGCTTTGCGTCATAGATCACCTGGGAGTCTCCTCAGATTGTAGGGACCTGCGTGTATTTAAGCCATGTGGACCATGCCGAACTGTATATCATATGCATGAAGAAGGGGGACGCAGCACTGGGGGCAGACATGGCCAGACGGCAGACGCTGCTCGGTGAGGCCTTTGCACAACATTTGCTTGGTGGGTTGGTCCACCACGCTGCCCCCCGTCCGCTACACTGCCAGCAAAGCAGACTTGCTCGGCACGTCAGGCGATTTTTCTTTGCGGTTCCGGATGGAATGAGAGCAATCAATGACTATAGACTCTACTTTTGATACGCAAAGTCAGGCTTATGAACATCTAGTCAATCATGCAGTATGTATACGCGTTGGAACTCGATAGGGAGGCTTGCTTGACACGTCCTAGACTCTACTTTAGACACCCAAAGTAGGCCCACTGACACTGTGACGACACTCGATTCGCAGTCATGTCACCTTGTTGTTACCTGGTTGCTGCCTCGTAATCACCTTGTGACGTGACGTCGTTGCTACCTTGTAGTTTCATCGTCACCATCACATGTTTTTTTTTGTCATGAACTGTGTTCGATGACTATGAAACCATTGAAGCACATTGAACGCATGCAGTACGGATTTTGGAACCTTTTCTCCTCCCTGGTCTTGGACACCAAAGGTTCTCTTGATGTTAGCATTGTTCCCGTTCGTTTCCTATTTGCTTTCCCTTTGGCGTCCTTTTACTTCACCCCCCCAACAGACGCCGCCAATGGACGTCTCCAGGCGATCTGCGGGCCTATCCATCCCAAGTGCGCATTGTGCCACAAGCAGAGATGAGCCACAGCCGAGATAGAAATGCTTGAAATCATGAGAGTGGTGGAGCTTGGATGGGGTCGGTGTTTTCAGCAACTAGGTGTGTTGAAGTTGTGTTGAAAAAACACCGGTGTGAAAAGACATCGACTATTAGCACCAAAACACGCGCTAGTTCCATGAATACCATCAACCATACAATCAACCAGACCATACCATGGTGCAAAAAGTCATGATGGTGATGCATTTTTCAGAGGACACTTGGCAGTGTGAAGAGGATCTCCAAAGTAGGCTTGACCGTGGTGCCAATGCGAGGCACCTGGACATGGAATGTGAGTAATGTGAGTTATCCAATTCTAAGTGCCGTTCATCTTCCAAAGCCATTCCTGAAGGTGCCATGATGGGTTTCCCTGGCCCCCCCAGTTTTGGATCCAATTTGTTGAGCAAAGGACGTACTCAGAACTCGAAGAAAGAAACCCTTCTCCGCCTCAGTGGCAGTAGGCAGTATGGACCTGGCGGGATGGGTCATTCGATGGTTCCTACCATCTCAGGAATTCCTACCATCCCATCTCCTCCCGTATGGTGGGGGAAACTTGGGAGCCAGGCCGGGGGACCGCGACCGGGTGAGTGCGCGCGCTGGGTGCGCACATAGTGGCACACGCATGGCGACGCCCATGGAAGTCATTTGGCATGGAAGGATTCAGGGATTCAGGGCAGTATTTCGGTTTGTTCCTTCAAATATTGAGCCCGTGTTTGATATTGTTTGATCACTAAGATTGGGGATTTTGGGGGTCCACTCGCCCCTGGAGGCGGCTTTGGCCACTTTGATTGGCCGATTTCCACAAAGGCAATGGAGAAGGGAGTTTCCATATTACTCTGCAGATCTTACAATTGTTGAAATAGTTATATATTGGATGGCATGGCCGCTTCCAGGGCAGATTGACCGATTTGCTTCCACTGGCTGCAGGCAAGTTCATTTTGTCCTTCAACGGGGCTCCTTGCGCTGCAGCCGGTAGGGGGACTTTGGCACTGCTATTTCGATTTGACCGTGGGCTTTGGATCCTCAACATTCATCCCGAAAGCGTGGACATAGCTAGTCCATATACCAAATGGATCCTGGAGTTGCTACGTGTTGTAGCGTTGTTTTCGGTATCAGAATGACCGAATTGGATCCACTGGACGCGGCACTGTTCTTCTTCGTGCGGAGCCCCTTCACTCGAAGGTGCTCAACGACGGTGCTCAAGACATTGATTGCTGTCTTTTCCGGAGCCCCATCTGTGCAAAGGTTGTGCCCGGCCCAATCCAATCATTCCAATCATGGTTGAATTTGGGCATGGTTCAACCTTCAGCCGGAAACCTTCAGGGTGCACCAGGGAAACCTTCAGTGAGTGCGACCGGGCGACGAGGTGAAATCGCTGTCTGGCCCAACGGTGGCGGACATCCTCCATGTGCCTTGGCACCGCTCGGTTGCACATTCACCTTCTGGAACCGGGTGTAGTAGGGCATTTTCGGGCATAGCTTCAGGTAGAAAGAGTGAGTTTAGGTACATATGTTGGTACCTGCAACTGTCAGTAAACATAGACATATACTCAGTATACTATACATATATGCCATATGCAATGTGCTGAGTCCACATCCAAAACGCTTCACTTGGCTGCCGGCACCAGCTGTGCACCACAGGATATGCAGCTGAACTGGGCGCTGAGTGAACCGAGTAGAACCGCTGAGTGAAGATGAGTGTCCGAGGTAAACTACTTTGAAGTCTTTTGCGAGCTCAATGGCCTCCAAGACCGCTGCAAGGACATCAGAGATGTTGCAAAAGCATGAAACCTTGCTCATGACAGATAAACCATGATACACATCTTCAACAACCAGCCCCATGCAGATTGTTATGTTTCTTGCCATTTTCTAGGATTCTAGAAGCTGGTGAGCTCTATTGGCCCCAGCAGGCCCAGAATTGATCGGTGATTCAGAAGAGACTCCTGCGGTAGATGAGAAGATGAAGATGTTTTCTTTTGGGTCCTGTGTGCTTGAGGGCCGTGGACCACGAACGCTGAACATGACGGCGTGTGGGGCCAAAAACCGCCTTCATGCATAACAGATCATCAATTGAGAACCTCTCAGGGCCCAACAACCCTCTCCTTTGAAGAGGTATGTGCTGTAAATATCATGAAATAGTCAGAAGGGGGAACCCCAAGTCAAATACCATCACATATCATAATATTACTATATCCGTCCTGTCACATGCTTTTCCAGCTGGCCCAGCTGGATGTTGGTCTTCGATCATCGATACAGGACCTTCTCACCGAGGAAGCACAAACGTCTTTGATGGCACCCTGGCTGGGAGAAAAAAGATAAACAAGTGCTTCTTCGCTGCCTGGCACTGGAACCATGCATGACCGCATCGTCACCTAGCACACGAAGAGACCCGATCCGTTTTTTTTGGGTCTGAGTCGCACAGCTCATCGCTGTTTCAATTCATGGGGTTCGGGCTTGACTGCAATCGCAAAGTCTGAGCGAGAAAGAGTGGGTGAACTCCCAAGTGTTCCTTCTATCAATGGTCCCGAATGCTTCTTGTTTGGAGTGCGAGGACTGCTATGAGGTCGCACTGGTGTAGGCGGCTTTGAAGAGAGGAAGAACAGCGCGGCTAGGTTGTTACTGTTGATTGTTCTTCCCCAAGAAGACCTAGATCGCCTCCATGTCACCGGTTGGCCAAGGTGCAGACCAAGACACGGATGGGGAAGCGATTGAACTTTAAATCGCAAGAAGCTAGCTATCAGCTATAGCCACCAAACGCTTTTAACGATGCCTTTGGGAGGGTCCGTCCTCCGCTTTCTCCGCCAGGCCCTTCCAGCCTTGGAGGACTACATCGGCCATTTTGCATCGCTCCTCGATGGAAAGTGACAACCCGGATCAGGATTTGGAGATTTGGCCGGGCAGGGGCAGGGTACCAGGATATAAACTGGAACTCAGATGGAAGTGATTCAGGCACACAAATAACGCTGGGAACATTGAAAGCATGTTGGGCGAAGGGAGGCGACTCCCGGTATTTTTGGTCTTCAGCGAAAGCAACAAAAGTAGCGTATCAGCAAGCTGGGGTTGTTCGTTGAATCGTCGAGGCCACCCTGTCAAAAAAAATACTATGTTGAACAATAAATATAAACATATAACAGACAAGACAGGACAGAAAGAATACAAAACGAAACAGTGTGTTGTACAAACCCTTTTTGATGTTGCATTGTTTAGACCCCCCCACCTGGTCTAATCACCATTGATTTCCCCTCTCTTCAGCACATGCCAGGCACGAAGAGCTGCTCCAGCTGGAGCCAGCCAACTTTGTTCAAGCCAAGGCACCCGTGGTGTTACCACGCTTTCGTCGACTCACTTTCGTCGACGAGAAACCGATGGTGCGGTGGCTGAAGGATGGACTGAAGAGAGTGGGGAGACTGAAGCAGAATGGAAGAGATGTCAACTCGCCACCCCCCAAATCACAGGTCACAGGCACCCAACAAGCCCAGGGCCTTGGGGCATCTTTTGGTTGCGATGTCCAGGTGCCCAGCCCGCAACTGAAGCAGGTTCTGAAAGGTTTCGTCTTTCCCTGCGGACCGGTGCTTTCACGGCTAGAACTGCATTTGCACATCCCTCGAAACAAGCCACATGATGTGCTATATATATATATACATATATATATATATTTATAGTATATATATATAGAAATACAATAATGTGTTTGTTTGATTCCAGAGGTGTACTGCAAATGAGGGGGAAGGTCGGGATGTGCACGGCAAATCCGGTTCTTGGGTCCCCCTTTTCGGGTGGGGAGAAGTGCCGAAGTGCGGAGTCACTGGAGGTTGCGACCGGCCAGGTGGACGGGGACATCTCCACGCCAGAAGCGAAACAATGCATCTTAGAGCAACAGCAGAAGGAGCTCGAGGCATGTCACATGCTTGTGAACTGGATGGATTGGGTGGATCTGGGACTTTGGAAAGGCACCACCAGGATTTCCACATGAAGATCCACATGTTTCAGGTCGGTTTGTACAGCCGACCTCTTGATGTTGAGAGAATGGCTCAAAAGGCTCAGCTGTACGCCCGAACTCATCGGAACCATTGGTGCACAAATTTATCCCATCCTTTTCTCTCCTCCGCTGAGAGATGTTTGAGCCCAGTGTTTCGTCGGGTTGCTACACTCAAAGGATATTATCACAAACATTCACAAACTGTTAGGCGTTGGGAGTGCACGTGTTTGCTTTCTTCAACATCCACCCCGACTGATGGCACCTGCTGTGTGTGTTAGGTCTGTTAGGTGGTTCTTTCCAAGACTGCCCAACCTCCCACCATCAACCTCGCCCAATCCATCCCATTCCTCGGCAAAACACCGCTTTTCTTCCCCGTTCGCACGATGGCAGGTTCTGGATTCCATCCCCGAGTCCGTGGTCATCGGCCTCTACGAGGTCTCGTGCCACGAGATCCGCAAGAGCTTCGCGGGCAAGCACAGGAACCGATCAAAAGGGCGAAGACGTAAAACAAGGGGCACAAAAAACGGGGAGATGGAAGATCAAATGACATCAAATGCGATGATGAGTTCGGAATATGTGAGAAGTGAGACAAAGTGAATCTTTCAAGATCTTTCAACTATGAATCTGTGGAGGACCTCCACTTCACCGAAGAGCATGTCCCATTTGTGTTGTTTTTTTTTTCTACCCCCTTTCACCTACCTACATCAATCACTTTAAGATGAAACTTGCAAGGAGTATGCAGCTGATGATCCACACTACCTTGAAGCACGTGTTGGTTTTAGCTTGGGTAGGTAGGTAGGTAGGTAGGTATGAAGCACACCTGAAAGGCCCAGTCCACTTGGATGCAAATTGTTCGGCAAATCATGCGGGCGTCCACGCAGGAAGATCCAAGAACTGCTCCTGGATATGCTCTTGCTACTTGGCGGATCGGTCAATGAGACTTCCGGCTCCGGCGCGCAAAGTCGATCGTACACCCGGGGAACCCGGCCCACGGCCCGAACCTGATGGCATGGACCAGACTGGAAGACGAAGACTTCCTCTACCACCCAGTGGCGTTCAGGTTCTGTGGGTTTTTTTTCCACGGCGTAGCTGGTGGATAGGACGTAGACGTAGCAGCGATGGGTCAAACCTGGGGGGGCATCCATGTTCCCCTCAAAGATCCGCCAGCTGGAGACAGGGAGACATTTGGCAGTTGCGCTATGACATTGAGGTGTTCGAAAGTTACAAGCCTCCAACCCACTGGAGAGGAATGAAATGAAGCTACCGACACACTCCTCTTCCAGATAATGCTCAGGAGATGGAGACGTTTTCCTAACATTGGTCATGACATTGGCCCACCAACCTCTTTTACAGTGTTGAATATCGCAGGTGATCTACCGCAGTCCAATCTCTGATCCTACCATCATCTGCCATCCACCAATTGATCTACCATGAGCAACCGTCAGTGGCAACCTACTGATGCACTCTTTAGTTTCCAAGTATGTTGGGCCCTGACGGGGAGGATGGTGGGACTCCACAGAAAGCGTGAGCCTTACGTGTGCCTTACGTGTTGCTACACGCGTGAGTGGCTTTACCTTCTTTAGGTTCCTGGCAACCTTTACACACATGTCACATACCACCTCTGATTGCATGTTGGGTGATTTCTTTTTTACCAAACGCAGATGTGTGCCACGAGTCTAAGCCGGCATTTGTTCACGAAGTTCTTCAACGGCTTGGGATTTATACATGGCAAAACCCATGAGAACTCAGAGTAGGGACATCCATTGTCTCAACAGTAGAGCATGTCCATTGAGAAAAGACATGGACATGCTGTCCATGTCCGTCACCAGGACCCGATTCCGCGATGGTGCGCAGGCGTGGCGGAAAGCTCCGGCGCGCGTCATGACCGGCGCGTAACATCTGGTTTGCGCGTGCGTCATCAGCTGCAGCACGGGAGCTGCAAGCTTAGGGGTTGAAGATCCATCATGGTTTGATAACTGTCCTGCTTGAACTTCCCCTGGGGCAAAACGTGTGAATCGCTTCTCTTTGAAACAGGGGCCCCTTACAGTGGCCCGGACAGACTCAGAAGAGGGTTTTGGGAGGCTCGTCAGATTCCCGCACTAGACAGGAAACACCTGATTTGCCGCCCTTCTCTTTCTACTGTTTGTCCAATGATTTGGAAGAAGAAATGATGAAGCTGACAGGCACGGTTCTGGAGCATTCTGTACTTCAGCCAGATAGACATCGCTTCATCCATTCTTAGTCTTGTGGATCAAAATGACTCAAGTTGAAGAAACCTGACCCACTCACAAAAAAAGACACATCGCTTCCATCCGCGGCCAGGAGATCGTGGATGGCTATTCAGGGATTTTCTCGCAGCTGAGAAAGACACCCAAGGATATTGAGGAAGTGGCCAACATGCGGGAGCTCGGGTTCCCAGTTCTTCTGGAGCTCGGTGGGCAATGGGGCACAGTGAGGAATCAGTTGGCGCAGTTTATACATTGATCCGCTGGAGATGGAAGACTCTTCATAGGCCACTTAAGCACCAGTGACACTTTGCGTAGATTATATAAGTCTAGGCAAGGGAGTAAGGCATACAATTCAGGCAAGGGAAGCTACATGGTTGGATTTGTGGACTGTGACACGGCCGACTCAATGCAAGAATCTTTCTACAGGGACCTGAAGATGAGCGGCATCGCTTTGTGAGATGAGCGTGGCTGAATGGGGACGTGTGTGGCATCTGAAAGCATGTGAAAGCCAGTGAGATGCATGTCAGTGAAAGCCACTTGTGGAACGTTACCTTTGACCTTGTATCGTTACCTTTGAACTTAGGCTTTTTCAGCAAAGGGGTTCCGGAAGTTACAGAGTCATAGCACCACGCCATGCATGGCGCACCACAGGTACATTGCGACCATCCCGGCGGAGATACTGAAGTGACCCAGCTGAAGGGTTTCTGTTGAGGGTGCATTTCCCAGAAACGACGTTTGGATTTCACCCAAGGAAGCCACCCACCCCAACAAATGGTGCGTGCTTGGGCCGTGTTCTACGTTCTGATGTGAGGGACTGGCTCAGTCCTAGAAGTCTCCGAAGTCGATGAGACTTTTTGGGGATATGATCCCTATAGGGCTCCAACCACCGTTTCGAAGATGGTTGAAGGTGGGATTGGGGGGGTCTAACCACCTAGGGTCTAACCACCTAACTTCTGCTCCTCTGAGACTATGAGACATTAGACCTTTTCTTTGTCTTTCGAGTGAAGCACTGGGGCGCGGATGCACCAAACCCTTGGCCATACACCAAACGGCTACTCAAACCGTGGATCCTTTCGTGCAGAAGACCCCTCCGTCCCGTCCGAGGCTCGCTCCAGAGACCAAGAGGCGGCCGCGTCGCGGACGGCCGAGGGTTTCCACGAAGGGAACCGAAGGGAACAGACATAACATGACGCATGTAACGCAAGCTTCGCGTTTTATAAGGATGTTGATATGTGTCATTTTGATATTTTTTGATGCACAGAGTGCCGCGTTCTATTTTTAGCAGGGGGAGGGAGTGTGCCAGGCTGGTGCAACAGCAAGTATTTGATGTCCTTAGCCATCCCAGAAGCCGTCCTGGACGATGTGCACATATCCGACGATGAAATCAAGTTTTTTTTCATGCGACTCTCTCCCAAGAACCACCCATGCACGGAAGATTTGGCCTACACCATTTGGCCCTTAAAAAACATGTTCAAGTATTCTAAAGTGACCTGGTCATCACACGAAATCACCCCAATGTAGGTCAACATGTCCATACATGTGTTGGGTATGGGACTCTCAGACCCATAGAGAAGGACTTACTCCGAATGCACACACCCAATAATTATCCAGAAAACGACGTTATGCGGGTGTGGTTTTTACGCGTTTTTGTGATTTGTGGTTTTCTGTGTTTTTTTGAAAATGTTAGTTGTTTTGAAGAACGTGTCTAGCAAACATGTTGACTTGTAATGTGTCAAATGTTTCATCAATCTTATTCAATCATATTAGTTCTCATGATTCCCACACAGAAGTCCATCAACCAGCATCTATCAGCAACTCCACGACATCCCATCATACATCACCAGGTCATCACCTCTATGAGGAAGATCTGGTCTCCAAGACCTCCAATCTCAATGAGTTCTCAATCTCCAGCAACTGGGGCCTGGGCCTGG